GCTACTCGCGCCGCTATTGAGCAGTTCTGCTCTCTAAGTAGTTCAGCTCTCCTTAGCAGGGAAGGATACAACTCGTCCGCGGCCATCAGAATGAGATAGTATACTCTCTAAGAGCGTCTTCTTGGACCGCTGATATAATCTGGCTTCCAAATCTGCTAAACGATTCTGGGTGAGGAGTTACGGACCTTTTTTGCTACTGTGCTTAACCATTGCGGTGCGCCCCCTGCTTATGCTTCGCGCTTGTAAACCCTTCGTGACCCAACCGCCATCGTTGCTCGGTGGCGCAGTAGGTTAAGTGGATGGACTCGTGCAGTGCGATGGGGGTTCGAGTCCTTGATGCGTTTCGTAGTTTTGCTTTTTCTTGAAACGTGCGCTCAACACTTGGGAAGTAGTTTTGCATACCTGTCCGACCACCAAGACAACTCCCTGCTCTTTATTGAGCCCCGCGAACGATTTTCGTGAAAAATTACACTTCTACCTAACTCGTTCATGCAAGGGACCAAATACACATGCATATCTGCCTGAAGTACGTGATCTGCGAAATTTCACCATCCTATAAAATGACGTGTGGGCAACGAAAGTTTCAACATGTTCGGTAGCTCTAATCACCCACGCACACAATATCAGCCAACACCTCTGCGACCGTGCCTACCATAACTAAAGTAATATTAGGCACTGTTGAACTACTCCTACCCCAGAAAACTCAAAAAAATTTTTCTCGCTGAAACGTTGTCTACAGGTGCAATTCTATGCCCTGATCACGGTTTTAACCCTTCGTTTGCGAGCGGGGGCTGCGGTCCATTTTTTGTGGCGCCAGTCAATGCGACCAATCTTGGCGCCCACACTTTTTTTTCCAAAGTTGATGAAAAACTTGCATATTGCTGGCGTAATTTTTCCTGGGGTAACGGAATGGCCCCCACACGAGTTTCCAGCGTTGGACGCAGATTGGCGCCATGATGCCGCCAATATGGCCGATAATGGGCCCAAAGGCGCACCAGCGTAGCAGCGATGCGGTGGTCCGTAATCCAGGACGCTCAAATAACGCCCCATACTGCAATATTTCATCGACTTTGAGTGAACAAAATGCGTGGGCCCAGCGTGTCGCGCAGAATTGCGCAAATGACTACATTCGCCGAACGAATTATATCCGTGGCTGGCACTCGAATTACACCTATAGGCAACGTCATTCAGCGAAAAGGTTATTTTTTTTGGTTTTTCTGGCGGTACAATGAGCTTTCAATTCCAATTACAAGCGTGTCGACAGACACTGTAACTACAACCTATGTGCAATTGGACTGCGGGGAAGATAGCTGATAGAGACGACAGATACGGATCCTCTCTGATCACGGTTATGTTTGGGAGTGGGCGATGAAGAAAGTTCCCTAGGAGCTAGAAGAACAGCTACGTCACTTTGGGGATGTAAAGGTCCCGATAGAGAAGGTAGTTCGCTTGTACCCATTGCCCACTTATGGGCTTCACTTTATACAAGTCCATATCAAGTATGCGTGTGGTTTAAGTGAATGAAGCCATTGCCTTCTACCGTTCGAGTGCGAAAAAAGTCGCATTAATTACAAAAATATATGCGTTAAATAAAGCTGCCATACCAACGCTATGAAAATGAATGCTTTCACTGAAGTCAAAATGAAACCCCTCTCAAAATTCAGAATAGGGTCTTTAATAAGCAGAGGGAGCGGGTCCTTGGTCAGTCGTACAGTTATCCAAAACTTAGCTTGCCAAGTGTTGAGCGCCGTTTTGCAAGAAAAAAAAAACACGAAACGCCACCGAAGGACTCGGAACCCCATCATACGACTCGCGGCTCCACCCACGTACCACTGCGCACCGAGCCACGTATGGCGGTTGGGTCTACGAAGGGTTACGAGCGCGAAGCATAGAGCCAGAGCGCGCAAGCAATGGTTAAGCACAGTAGCAAAAAAGGTCCGTAACTCCTCACCCAGAATCGTTTAGCAGATTTGGAAGCCAGATTTGATATCAGCGTCCGAAGACGCTTCTAGGAGTATACATCTCATTCTGAAAGGGGCCAGACGAGTGGTGGTATGCCTTCCCTTGTTAGTACCTTTTTTTTGTCTCCTTGCTGCGGCATGAAAACGGGGCACTGTCACGGCAGGATAGCTTCGACCGTGGGCCAAGCGCCGCTTCCTCCAGCCGTGGTAGAAGAGCGAGCAAGATTGTATCTATCCCTTAGGTTCGCTTGTGGAACAAGTGCATGCCCCGCCGTTGAGACGTGATGTCGATCATCCATCATATTCATCGAATATCATCACATCCATCAATCATGATCTCATCTAATCCATCGAATCTATCATCATCATCATCATACATCATCATCATCATCATCATCATCATCATCATCATCATCATCATCATCATCATCATCATCATCATCATCATCATCATCATCATCATCATCATCATCATCATCATCATCATCATCATCATCATCATCATCATCATCATCATCATCATCATCATCATCATCATCATCATCATCATCATCATCATCATCATCATCATCATCATCATCATCATCATCATCATCATCATCATCATCATCATCATCATCATCATCATCATCATCATCATCATCATCATCATCATCATCTCATCTCATATCAACTCGATTCATCATCATCATCATCATCATCATCATCATCATCATCATCATCATCATCATCATCATCATCATCATCATCATCATCATCATCATCATCATCATCATCATCATCATCATCATCATCATCATCATCATCATCATCTTCTTCTTCTTCTTCTTCTTCTTCTTCTTCTTCTTCTTCTTCTTCTTCTTCTTCTTCTTCTTCTTCTTCTTCTTCTTCTTCTTCTTCTTCTTCTTCTTCTTCTTCTTCTTCTTCTTCTTCGCAGTGATAGTCCCGCGCCATCTTAGGGTGCGCTAATCTTAGACGTCACAGCTGCTTCCGATTCACTGCACCTCCTACCGTAACATTCACTTCGGTCGAGGTCCTTCTTGATGACGTCCCTCCATCTTTTCTTTGGGGCTCCTCGTGGTCGCTTGCCCTCTACTTCGAATTCCAATGCCTTCCTTATTGGGTGGTCTTCAGGCCTTCTCAGTACATGCCGTTACCTTCGCTCACTAGATTCAACTAGAACTAACTTCCTTATGACTCCCCCAGACGTCCTTCTTTCTGACTCTGTCTAGCGTCCAACGGGCCAATCTCAGCGTTTTAAATTGAGTTCAGTGGAGCTTGCTTTTCATGGGTCTTGCATAAGGGCCAGCACTCGCTGCCGTAGAGCATTGCCTTACCACAGCCCGGTACACCTTGCCCTTGAGCGTTCTCGAGCACCGTCAGTAGCAGAGGATGTCTGTGGACATTGTCCTTTTCATACAGGATGCAGAGGCGTGCATTTACCGGCTAGTCCGATGCGCAGCTATATGACTCCCCAAGTACTGGAAATCCTCGACTTTTCTCGACGCTTTTGCCGTGCAGGTCTACAATGGGTCTAGAGCGCTGTTTGGAGCTCAGGAAGTTGGTCTTCATACATTCGAACGGAGTCCGTCCGCACCAAGCATATCTTGCCGTCGCTGCACCTCGCCCTGAAGTTCTTCATTGCTATCCTTTATCTCGGCAATGAGAACAGCGTAAAGAATGCTTTTCAGCGACCCTTCTATCAGCCCTTGCCACGACATCCAACTCAAAACGGAGAGAAACCGGCTCAGGGCTGATAACTGGTGTACCCTAACCAGTATGTCTACCTCCTTCATCAAGCCGCGATGGTTTGAGCAGCCAGATTGTGGTGCGCACCAGTCAGCAGTATCCAATCACCCCGCCCCCACTCCTCGCTCGTGCCTATCCTCACTCCCATGATGCGACCTTTGATCGCATTCCCAGTGCAGACGCGGTCCTTGAAGGACTCTGCCACCGCTGCGGCCACACCACTGCGTTTAGTGTTTCCTCCATTGTAAAAGAGTTAAAGAGTAAATGAGTTTATGGCTGCGGACTTCACGATCTTGTACAGTTCAGGGTTTCTCCACCTTGCCTGATCGCGGACGTGTCTTTAAGAGCAACTACACTATTCCTCTTTGACGTGTAAATTATGTACCATTCTGTATCTTTAATTGAAAAGGTAGGGGTATCGAATGGACCCGACCACGTCCTTGTTTGGGGTGCTCTCTATGATACGAACGAGAAATGTAACTGAAACCATTGCTGGGAATTCCCAGAGCGGGGTCGTACTGGTCGCGGGGGAGGGCGTCGCATTTGGTGTAAAAGCAATTTTTTGGTTGTCGTTTTGTCGCGGACGTTATGAAAGATGGATCGTTTTCGCTTGTTGTTCGGAGAGAGATGAAGGTCGTATACACGTTTTGGCTTTCTGAGATAGTTCGTTGGCTTTTTCATGGTCTGAAACCTCGGCGACAGTCTCAAGAACTCAGTGAAGCTAAGACTGAGCAATGGATTATGCACAGAGATGAACCTGAGCATATGGGAAACATTGAAGGAGGGGCATTGAGAGTGACGCACGGAAGCCCTGAGTACAGTACAGAGTACCGGTAAACATCTTGATGCAGCCTTAGGGCACCATTGACGGCTGGCCAGGGAGCGGACTCTTGGATTGTTGAGCCGATTTTTCGGGGTGGTCTACTCGATTTTGTCATTTTTGCATTCACCGAATTTATTGCGAAAGTTAGTAATCATTGTACTTGCTGTCGTTTCACTGTGCCTTTCATTATCAGTCGCTTCTCCAATACACATTTGACAGCTTTATAGGCAGATAGATTAAATAAATAAATAAGCAAATAATAATTAAATAAAAGACCAAATGAGTGAATAAACCAATAATAATTAAATGAATGTTATCAATAGCCTTGTGAATAGTCAATGCTGGTTTTTTGTTGGCCTAGATTTATGTTATAATTAGATTTCGATGTAGCGGTCGGATAAACATTCTGAATAGGAATTCATAGGAAAACGTATAAAGCTCAGCGGGTAGGATTAATATGCGAGTTAATGTCGATATTCTTGAGTTTAGCGCGACTCACCATTGATGGTTTACAGTTCGATCAAACTCTTCTCGGACTGGATCGTGATTACTACTGGAACCGAACAAAGTACGGCACAAAGATTGAAGCTTACAAACAGTTCCTCATAAACCAGGTTAGCGCCAGCAGTGATAACGTCTTTTCAGGTACCTATTTGTCAAGAAGTGCGTTTTCCAAGAAATAGTGACTGTTTCAGGTGAGACTCATCAGGGAGTATGCCAACCGTCCAAATAAGGATGGAAAGATTGAGCGAGATGTTGACGAGGTCGTCGAATTCGAAGCGAAGATTGCGAAGATCATGGTAGCTGAAGAAGATAGGTTTAACCGCACTAGAATGTACAATCTTCGTCGTCTTAACGATATGGAGAAACTGACGCCCATGGTGGGTAGAAGTTTCCAAGTGTCGCGCTGCTAATAACCGTTAATACTGCCGGAGTAGAGCACCGAGTTTCAGCGAAGAAGGCTCTGAACCGATTCGGTCATACAGGATCAATGAGTATCTATCTCCTCATTGTCAGTCATGTCAAGCCGCAGCCCTTACGCCAGGCGCTCTAAGATCATTCGAAAGACCCCATATATATAATTCGCTTTGTCTGTTTGTTTGTAAGTTTGTAAGTTTGTAAGTTTGTTTGTCTGTCCGGAAATTCGGTTCGACCTGAAGAACGACTTGGAGAGGTCGGGTCAAGGTGGGTGGGTAGGGCATGGGACAAGAAATAAAAAGCACACTTGACCTATGGGAAGCCCCGCCCACAGTGGGCGGGGCACTCGCCGAAAGTTTGGGGTTCCGCAGAAAAATGTTCATAATTCGCTTCCGGAGCAGCTTAAAGATGGGGAAAAAGGGAATAAGGTTAGTAAGGAGTCGCCAGACTAACTGTGGCAGACACATCCAAAATGGGCGGGGCGTACTCATGGTGGGCGGAGACGCCCACAATGGGGGGGGGCACAAAAATTGTGGGCGTCCGCTCTGAGGTGGGCGGAGTCAGACGAAGAATCTGTAAAATAGCTCAAGAGTACTTCAGACACCGGAAAAAAGTGGAGTACAGAACAAAAGGCGGATATCAGTTGAGTCTAGAAATATGTGAAAGAAAATACGCGCGGCGAAGCCGGGCCGTATCAGAAGGGAGCCGTATCAGAAGGAGGTTAGCTGGCGAGCCGACTGGTAATATAGATAACTCACTAAAGTACAAAATATAAAGTATAAAATAGTGTTGAGGAACCATGCGATCCTATCAGTAGGAGGGCCTACTGATAGGATCGCGTGGTTCCTCAACACTATTTTGACACAGTTGCTTCGATACATACCGTCACACCTCTCCAACACTCAGATGTTCCTGAACCACCTCGCTAGAGCACATCCAAACAGCTCCAGCGTCATGGAGTCCTTTGACGTAGAAGCCCTCTACACGAATGTCAGTAACAGTGCTGCTATGGAAGCCCTTTTTGAGCTCCTCAATCAGCACCGTGACCTGATTAATATGCATGGGCTTTCCGTAGATCAAATAATGATGCTGCTGAAAGAATGTCTCAGCTGTAACATCTTCAGATGGTCTGGAATGTACTTCGAGCAGATTAGGGGCTTAGCTATGGGACAACGGCTGGCGCCCACTTTAGCCATTGCTTTCATGGCTAAAATCGAAGCGCCTGTTTTAGATCAAGTTCCATTGCTTTATTGCCGATACATTGATGACTGTTTCGTAATCTGTTCCA